ATTCCGTGCTGCAGCCACTCGGAATCCACACAGGGTCCTTCCCACGCGGGAAAAGGAGTCCACCGTCCCTTCCACGTGACCACATCCGCTTCCGGGTGCAAGAGCTTCTCTTTCAGACCCCACTCTTCCGGTAACACAGTGCCCGTGTGATCGCAGGTCCCGGGGCAGACGGGCCTCATGCATGACCAGCGGCGTTGCCCCTGCCGAGTAGCTGGCAGTGAGGATCGAGGGAACGAATGAGAGGCGCTCAGCCCCACGCCTGGTGCTCACCGTGCAGAGGAGGGAGCATGGTCATGGCCTCAGGCCGAGAGCTTATACGGGTGACCTTCCTTTTCCTGCACCAAGCCTGGGCGATGCTGTCCCTCCCACCTTCCGGGAGAGGGCGTGGAGGCCTGGCAAGGTGGGCCTCAGGACTGCCCGACTCTAAGCCCAGGACCCTCCGCGCTAGCCCAAGGAAGTTCAAGTTAATGGCTGGTGAAAGAAAGCCCAAGGCGAGGGCAGACAGCCCTGCGTGATCCCCTGTTCATCCCCCTCTCCCCGCACCTGCCGGCCAACAGCAATGCGTCCACATAAGACTTCCAGGGACTCGCCCTAACCAGTGTGGCTCAGTGGATAGAGCGTCGGTCTGCGGACTGAAAGGTCCCAGGTTTGATTCCGGTCAAGGGCATGTACCTCAGTTGCGGGCACATACCCCGTAGGGACTGTGCAAGAGGCAGCTAATCGATGTTTCTCTCTCATCGATGTTTCTAACTCTCTATCCCTCTCTCTTCCTCTCTGTAAAAAATCAATATAATATATTAAAAAAAAAAAAAAAAAAAAAAAAGACTTCCAGGGACAGCCAGGTCGCAGACTGCACACGGGCACACGCAGACCCTCCGACAGCAGAGGACACCCTGCCTTCCAGATGCAAGAGACCGGGGTCCAGGGATGTCTCTGAGCCACCACTCGGCCCGCCAGAAGGGCCCTTCCCGCTCCTTGGCAACCTATGGTTCCTAAAAGCGAGGAGGGGTCGGCTGTCCCGTCTCAGACGCCCTCTCCCCGGTGAATTTTCCACCAAGAGTCTTGCATTCGGGAGCAAGAGGCCTTAGGAATCAAACAGCCCCACGGGGGCTTCTCCCTCGCCCTCCAGCGCCAGGCCCATCGTAACACACCTCGAACCCGGGACCCTCCCCGCGCCGCGCCCGCACCTGCGGCTGGAGTCATGTGTGGGACCAGGTGTCGGGGCGTCCTCGGGCCCCGGCGCTGATTCATGTGTCTGCAGACACTCGAGACTCCGCGTCTCCGAGACGGGCCGCGCAGAGTGCATGACGAGGTGAGCCCGCCTCATTTTCCCCTCCAGCCCCCCCTCCCCACTCACCCACCCAAAACACTTTCTTTTTCCTTCTTGGCCTCGGGGCCTGGCGTATGCTGGACATATTTTTCATTTTTCCAAATATCAATTGCTCTTTTTATTCCCTCTTCGAAGGAGTGAGTAATAAGAGTTGTGTCTGGTCCTGAAATTCCGACTGAAATAAATTAGCCCAATGACCAACGGGAGGTGCCTAGAACAATAACGGCGGAATACTTGGCGGATTACAAAGGAGCGCTGGACGGCGGCGTACAGTAAGTCTCGGAGCACTCTGCGAGCGGCGGTGCCAAGACGGGGGTGCAATGAGCCATCCAGGCAGCAGAACGCCTCATAAATTAATCCCGGTATTTTTTTTTTTCCTTCTTGGTCCACCGTTCACAGTGCTCCTAGCCCTCTGGCCGGTGGGGCATGAAGGAGGGTATTTTTTGGTGAGGCCCTCACCCCCCTCCTCCCCCCACTGGGGCAGGCACGTGCCAAGGCTGTGTGTGAATGTCTGCATGTGCCCCCTCGCTCGCCTGGCATCCCGGGGGCCGCTGGCTGCAGCCACAGGAGCAGGAGAGAACGCAGAGCAGATGGGCCTGGGAGGGCAGCTCGGAGGCGGCGAGCTGCTACCCAGTACTGAGCCCTTGCCGAGTGCCAGGCGCTGGGTGGGCGGTGGGAGGGCCGCGGAGGACCACAGGGCTGCCGTCCCCGTCCTCCTGGTGCTGGGAGCTCACACGTGCCCTAGGCTGTCCGAGCTGGGTCTCCATCTCCGGGGGCAGCAGGCAGGGGTGTGATCCGCACACCAAACCCCTCTTTCCCTGGAAGGAATCATTCGTTATTGTGGGGAGAGGGAAGGGGGTGGCACAGCAGAAGCTGCCTCTCACAGCAGAAGCTGGAGCCCTGATGGGCACCTGCACCTCCTGGCAGCCAGGGGCAGGCCTGTGACAGAGCCCAGCCCAGCAGCCGCTCCGGCCCAGGCTCTGAATCTCCAGGGATCATCCCACAGACACGGTGGCAGGCTGGGGGCATCCCCCAAAGAGACCCACGTCCCAGTCCCCGGAACCTGGGAGTGCCACTTTATTTTGCAGAATCAAAAGGCCTTTGCCGATGTCATCAGATTCCGAATTCTGAGGTGAGGATATCATCCTGGATTACCGGGGGGGGGGGGGGGGGGGGGGGGGGGGGACACGACACACACACGCCAGTGCATCTTTACTAAGATGGAGGTGGCACGCACACAGAGAGAAAGCGATGTGACCAAGGAGGCAGCGACGGGCGTGACGGGGCCACAAGCCAAGGTGTGCTGGGACAGGCGAGGAGTGGGCCCTCCCCTCCAGCCTCCAGAGGCGGGGCAGCCGGGCGGGTGCCTGATTTCAGCCCAGCGACACTGACTTTGGACCCTGGCCTCCAGAACGATGAGAAAGTCCATCTCTGTTGTTTCAAGCCACCCGGGGACCATCTGTTACCCCAGCTCCGGGTCACAGAGGCAGGCACCGAGGGAATTTAGGATTCCTCTGTGGCCCTGGGGTCCGGCCACCCAGAGCTCACAGTCCTGGCTCAGACGGCTCCCGGACGCACCCTGAGGTGCAGGCCCAGCGGCTGCGTCCCTCCCTGGACCTTCAGCCTCTCCGTCCCCCCCACAGGCGCTCCCTCGGGACATCCCCCCACATCGGACCTCGTCTGACTTCCGCTAGCCGGGGCGCGTCTGCGGCTCGCCATCCTACGTACGAAACCCCGCATGGCGGAACTTCTGCGAAGATCAGGGACAAGCCATCGTGGGACCCAATTCACGCACACAAAAACAGTTCGCAGACCAGTGGCCTGCGTTTTGCCCACATGGTGCGTTTTTGTGTGTGTGTGTGTGTGTGTGTGTGTGTGTGTGTGTGTTTTTCTACACTTGAATTTGTCTCCAACATTTAAAGGTCAGGAGAGTGTGCGCCTGAAAGGCTGCATTCCTAGCTTTTCTTTTAAAAAGTCAGAGGATTTCACAACCCCGGGCCCCACAGTTTCATGGCGACAATCGGCTGCCCTCTGGACCACGTGCTATAGTCTGCCACGGTCCCCCCACCCCCCCCCCACCCCCGCCAGGCCTTTTTCTTGTACGCCCAGGCCACGCCTCATTTTATCCATTGTTCGGTGCCGCTATGTATTTGGGTTTGCAATCCTTGTTACAAGTACCAGTCTTTCTTCCATCAGACCAAAGGTAGGGCACTGGTGGGACGTTGGGGAGCAACCAATCCATTGCAGACACCCTCCCCGCCTCCCTCTGCCCACACAGCTTCTGAGCCGCCCCCCTCTGCTCCCTCCCTTCCCCGCCCTGAGACTGAATTCCCAGAAAACGGCCCTCAGAGCTCAGGGCAGAAACTCCCCGATTCATCACCACTCATCACCACGCATCCCCGCTCCGCAGAGCAGCTTCTGGGAAGAACCCACTGAGTTTCCCCGAAACCCTTTCTGGTCATCGCCTCTGTCCGTGACCGCCCTTCATCACTTCCGATGCCCGTACTTAGCTTAGCGGGCAGTCCTCGGGTATCTGCTTACAGCGGGCATGGGAGGCGTTTTGCCACGGAAAGGCCGAGAGGCCGGCAGCAAAGGCAAGATCACGGGGATGCGGCAGGCGGCCGTCTGGAGAGGCCCCGGTGGAAGCAAGAGACAGCTCTGGTCCTTTTCCTCCCACCGCCTGGGCTGGTCCCCTTCTTTCTTTCTTTCTCTTTTTCTTTCTTTCTTTTTTTTTAATATTTTTTATTGATTTTTTTTACAGAGAGGAAGGGAGAGGGATAGAGAGTTAGAAACATCAATGAGAGAGAAACATCAATCAGCTGCCTCCTGCACACCCCCTACTGGGGATGTGCCTGCAACCAAGGTACATGCCCTTGACCAGAATCGAACCTGGGACCTTTCAGTCCGCAGGCTGACACTCTATCCATTGAGCCAAACAGGTTTTGGCCCTTTCTTTCAATCTGTTTTTATTGATGACAGGGAGAGAGGGAGAGAGGGAGAGAGGGAGAGAGAGAGAGAGAGAGAGAGAGAGAGAGAGAGAGAGAGAGAGAGAGAGAAAGAGAGAGAGAGAGAAACATCAACTGCTGCCTCCTGCACGACCCCTCCTGGGGACCAACCTGCCACCAGGCAGTACCCTGACTGGGAATTCAACCAGCGTCCTCTCAGTGCCCGGGCCGATGCCCAGCCCCAGAGCCAGGCTGGTCCCTGTCTTTTTCTAGCCTCGACTTTTCTGATGTGTTTCTCCCTGGTGTTCTGTTTTGTGTTCTTTACTGAGGTGACCAGACATCCCGCGTTTGGGCGGGACAGTCCCGATTTGTAACCATTTGTCCCCTTGTCTCACGGCGTTTTTAAAAAAGTCCCGATTTTCTTTCCCAAAATCGGGACTTTTTTTAAAAAACGCCGTGGGACACGGGACAAATGGGTACAAATCGGGACTGTCCCGCCGAAAGCGGGACGTCTGGTCACCTTACATTTCTGTGAAGAAGAAGGGAGGGGCAGGGCTAAAACCCAGGATGGTGGCAAGGGTGGGGCCTCGCTGCCCCCACCCTCTGTGACATCACCCCTCGTTGCCTGAGGGCTGCCTGGTGAGCAGAGGGCACTGGAGGTGGGGTGCCCATCTGGTCGTCCGGTGCGGGGACCTCGCTGCACCTGGGCAGCCCGACCGGAGGCCATGGTGACCCAGCGGGTGGAGAGCAGGGTGCGGGAGGCCACCGAGCTGCTGGAGCGCCGAGGGGGCAGTCGCTGTGAGGACAAGAAGCAGGTGAGGCCGGGCCGGGTTCACTCCCCCGTCTCTCCTCCCGTCGGGGGGCTCGGACACGCGGTCAGGCCCTCGGAGCCGGGCACAGGCTGTCAGCCACACGCTGCCTGGAGCCTGAGCTGGCGGGACACGGCACGGGGGCTCGGCACCCCTTCCCCGAAGCACTAACCACGTGCTTACCCGGTCCCAGCGCTGCCGGCAGAGGGCATGCTCGGGGAGGGCGGGGTTTCTGTAGTTGCTGCTGCTGTTCATCCTCACCCGAGGATATTTTTCAGTTTAAACTTTCAGTTTAAAATTGGTTTGTAGAGAGTGGAAGGGAAGGGGAGAGACAGAGGGAGAAACATCGATGTGAGAGAGACACATCGACTGGCTGCCTCCAACTAAGGTACGTGCCCTTGACCAGAATTGAACCCGAGACCCTTCGGTCCATGGGCCGACACTATCCACTGAGCCAAACTGTGCAGGGCAAGGAGTTTTTGTTTAGTGTCCTGCTATATCCCTAGTGCCTAAAATGGTGTTTGGTGATGAGTGAATGAATGAACGAACTGAAATAAATAGGATAAGACAGTGGTTGGCAAACTGTGGCTCTCGAGCCACATGCGGCTCTTTGGCCCCTTGAGTTTTTAGCAAAGGCCAGCTTAGGCGTACCCTAATGTAGTTCATAACAATGTAACTACCTATATAGTTTACGTTTTAAAAATGTGGCTCTCCGAAGAAATTTCAGTTGTCGTCCTGTTGGTTTTTGGCTCTGTTGGCTAATGAGTTTGCCGACCACTGGGATAATACACCCGAACTGGAGCATTCTTAGAGCATTCGCTCTTAGGACTGAAATGCAAACCTCACCTGGGGTTTCTGTCAATCGGAGACTCTCACTGTCCACAGCCTGCTTCCATCTCCTCTCTCTTTCGTGACGTTTTACAACAGTCCTGAGAGGTAGCTGCTGTGGATCTCACTCACAGATGGGTAAACTGAGGCTCAGGAAGCCAAAAGGCCATACAGCCAGGAAACACCGGGATGTGAAGCCAAGTCTATGTGACTCAGAGCCCTTGGCAAGGGTCACCCTGCACTCCACTGCCTCCCGGGTGCAGGGGTGAGGAGGGCTGGGACGGAGACTGAGGAGGGCAGCCGGGCCTCCCTCACAACAGGAGGCACGGGATTGTATTCTGGGATCAGTAAGAAACCACCGAGAGGTTCTAAACAAGGCGATGGATGACCGGCCTATGCACGTCTCCAAGGTACACCTAACACGCGCGCCCGTGCCTCCTGGGTGCTGGGCCTGTCGGCACGACGGGATTGGAGGGGCCCTCATACTGCGGCTCTTCCCCGGGTACGGGAGCCCGGGACCGCTCCGTGCAGGAGAACCGGGAGAAGGGCCTTGCGGTTTGGGGTTCACACTGCTCGTTCGGACTCTGAGAGGCCCTGCGGCAAGGAGACACCCTTCTGCGGACCCCGGCATTTCCCCAGTCGAGTCCCACCCTCCTTTTTGAATGAGGAACATTGCAAACCCATTCTGCAGGTAAAGACACTGAGGCTCGGGGAGGAGAAAGGAGTTGGCACAGGCCCAGGGCGTCGCAAAGAGAAAGACGAAAAGGTGCTCCCCGTCCCAGCCCTCCTCACCTCCCCCCCCCCCCCGGTCCCTCCCCCCCCCGGGCTTCCACGGGATGTCAGACAGACACCGGGCGGCCAGCCTGCGGATGGGAAACAGTCTGCCTGCGAGGCCAGAGGGCGAGGACATGGAAGCTCATTCAGACCGCTCAGCGGGCAGTTGGAAGAAGGGGGCGGTTCATCCTGCATGTTTCCTGCTCAAAGATTCCCAGGGGACACAGTGGAGGAGGGAAAAGGCACCCCACCTTCTGTATACAGAGCCGTGGCTCTCACAGTGGGGTACCCACGTGGGCAGCCACTGCCCAGATCGAGCTACAGAACATCCTGGTACCCAATGGCCCCGTGGGTCCCCCGCAGCCAGGATCTGACTTCTCTCCTCGCCGCCGAGCTGCGCTGTGTGTGTGCGAGGATCCCCCGAGGACGACCTCAGCGCGCACCTTTGGGTCTGGCTCCTGTCACTCAGCAGCGGGCCTGGGAGGCTCAGCCTGCGGTGGTTCACTTTTCGTTTTGAAGTTAATAACGAGATTATCGCTGCTGGTCTGCACAAGGGAAACCCGCCTGGGGAGAGGCAGCTTCGCCCGCTGGTCGTCTTTGTTGTGGTAGCGGGGCCAGGCCTCGCCTCATGAACTCGACTACGTAAGAAATATAGGGTTTCGTTCAAGTCAGATCCAATCTGGCTCCGTCCGCATCTGGTGAGTGTGAGGAAGATTCGATGTCAGTCCACGCTGCCCGCCTCCATCCCCGTCCCCGTCTGCTTGCCCTGACACCGTCACGGTCTCACTGACGGCGAAGGCAGATGTGTCTGAACCCCTGTGCCAGGGGCAAGGAGGGGGCTGACTGCACAAAGGCTTAAAGGAACGTTCTAGAACAATGGAAATGCTCTTCATCTCGACTGGGGTGGGAGTCCATAGGTATAGGCGTTTGTCAAAACTCATGAAACTGTACATTTCAAAGGTGTGCCTCCCTAGCTGGTTTGGCTCAGTGAATAGAGCGCTGGCCTGTGGACTGAAGTGTCCTGGGTTCAATTCCAATCAAGGGCAGATGTCTGGGTTGTGGGCTCCATCCCCAGTGGAGGGCGTGCAGGAGGCAGCCCATCAATATTCTCTCTCATCATTGATGTGTCTCTCTCACTCTCCCAATTATTTCCTCTCTAAAATCAATAAAAATATTTTCAAATAAAATTTTTTTAAAAATAATAATAAAAGGTGTGCATTTTAGCCCGGCCAGTGTGGCTCAGTGGTTGGACATCAGCTCATGAATTGGAGGTCACGGTTCAATTTCTGGTCCAGGGCATATGCCCAGGCTGCGGGCTCAACCCCATGTGGGGCGTGAAAAAGGCAGCCCATCAATGTTTCTTTCATCATCAGTGTTTCTAACTCTCTATCCCTCTCCCTTCTTCTCTGTAAAAAATCAATTAAATATATTTATTTTTTTAAAAGATGATCTTTCCAAAACCGATTTGGCTCAGTGGATAGAATGTCAGCCTGCGGACTGAACAGGCCAGGGTTCAATTCTGGTCAAGGACATATACCTTGGTTGTGAGCAAATCCCCAGAGGGGGGGTGCAGGAGGCAGCTGATCGATGACTCTCTCATCGATGTTTCTAACTCTCTATCCCTCTCTCTTCCTCTCTGTTAAAAAATCAATAAAATATATATTTTTTAAAAAGACGATCTTCCCGCTGCCCCATGCCCCGTTCCCCGAGAGAAGCAGGCGCCCATCTGCCCCCAGCAATTCACGTGCCCCCTCCCCCCCTCTTGCCCGCAGACGCTGCTGGCGCTGCTGGTCTTGGTGCTGTACGTGAGCACGGGGATATCAGGTGAGCTTTTGGCATCTGAGAAGGAGAAGCCGAGGCCACACAGAGCGGAGAGGGGTGCTCTGGAAACGGTTGCGTGCCATGGTGGTCTCGGCACTTGCCTCCTCCCACCGACCTCCATCCCACTGCGGTGACCAGCCCCCTTGATGCCAGCGGCCACTCGTTCGCCCTTGTGACGAGGTGTGTCTGTGCCTCTTTCAGGAAGAAGTTGGGAGATGTCGGAAAGGATCAGAGAATGCAACTACCAGAGTCCCGTGGCTTCCCAGGTAACATGTTCCGGAAGTCCCCGAAGGGAGGGCGCGCTTGGCTGGGGAAACCCGGGAAGGCTTCCTGGAGGTGGCGTTAGCGAGCTGGGTCTCCAAGGCTAAGTAGGAGCTGGAGACAACGGGGAAGGGTCTTCCAAGCAGAAGGAGTAGCGGCTGCCCAGGCTCGGGGGACTTTCTGGAACCAGTGGCAAAGGCGTCTACGTGAAAAAGCCCCGGATGTAACTTTGGTGTCTGCCTGCCTTTCAGGGATTTGAGTTCCAGACCAAGGAGCCCTCGAAGGAGCCGTTGAAGGCCGTCAGGACATGGCTGAAGGAGAACCTGCAGGTGTTCTTGGAGAAGCTGGAGAAGGAGGTGCGCGAGCTGGAGCAGCTGGTGCGGGACCTGGAGGAGTGGCTCGACGTCCTGCTGGGCGAGGGGCGCCCCGAGGAGTCCTGCTCCTCCGTCAGGAGCCGGGCGTGAGGGGCCCGGGCTGGGACCCGGGCGGGAGGCCACGGAGAAGGGGAGAGGCTTGCCAGGGGCTCCCCGAAGCAGGGTCAGCTGTGATCCCTGACGTTCAAGGCAGGCAAAAGAGAAAAGAAAGAAAAAGAAATAGAATAGTTGGGACTCTACGAATGCTGTCGGTGCTGCTGCTTCCTGACTGCGAACCCCAACAGGAGGACCCGGGGCTCTGAGGAGCCGTCCTCCCTCGTACGGGACTCTGGGGACAGGACTCTGGCCCTGCGGGGTCCACACAGGCGTCAGCGCCAGCCCCGGGCCAGGAGCCTTCTCTCCCCCTCACCTGAGACTTTGTGCCAAATTCCTTATCACCTCAGGACAAAAGGCCTCGTTGGGGAGAATCGGGGAAACAGACCGCCTCACAGGGTAACAGTGGGGACCAAACAGGTATAGAGAGAGCGGGTGGGGCACAGAGTAGGGACCCGGCAGAGCATTTGTGCTAAGTGAAATAAGCCCGACAGAGAAAGACAAGCACCACATGATCTCACTCACCTGTGGAATCTAATGAACAAAACAGACCCAGAGACACCGTTGCACAGAACAGACTGCAGAACCTCAAAGGGAAGGCAGGGGAGGGGGGGTGCGTGGGAAAGGATCAACCAAAAAACTCGTATACTAAATATGCATCGCCCATGACAGACAGTCGGATGGTGAAGGCCTGGGGCAGGGGGCGGGGCGGGCTAGAAGGGGTCAATGGGGAAAGCAGGGGGACATATGTAATACAGCAATAAAGATTTAAAATTTTAAAGTAAAAGAGAGAGATACTGATGGGACCACGCACGTGCAGCCACTGGTGAACAAGAAGTTTGCAGGCCGATTGGGGAAACAAAAAACAAGTGGAAAAGTCAAGACAAGGCCGTTTCGGAGAAGGAGACGTGTAAGGGAGACCCTCGGCGACGGCTGCCCAGCCGCTGCTGCCTTCGGGGCCGTGGAGGCCCGGCGCAGGGCAGAGTGGGAGCATCGGGGCGCCATGTGCTGATGGGCGGGGCTGAAGAGAGGGGTCCCCAGAGCTGCTCCCCGGGCCTCAGGACTTCCCCTCCTCTGAGAGGAGAGGAACCTGAGCCATGATGCAGGTCCTGACCCACGTAACCCCGGAGGCCCGATGGAGGAGACAGGCCCGGTCTTGGCGAGGGGCGAGGGGCGAGGGGCCAGCTGGAGAAATGTCCCGCCTTCTCATCAGCTAGTGTTTCAGGCGCCTGGAGCGTGAGGTCAGCATCGCAAACAATAACTTCTAATTAACTTTAATTGACGGTGTTCTCCCCGCTCTCCCTTTTAATTAGTAGATCCATTTGGCAGCCTTCCCCGTGCTCCCGCGGGCTCTCTCGCAAACACTGATGCCCTCTGCGTTCTGTTTTGTTGTGTTGTGTTGTGTTGTTGTGTTGCTTGGGGTCCGCTTCCTTTCTGTTCCTTCCACTTGCAGAATGTGGGGGAGGAGAGTGCTGGGTGGGGGGAAGCACAGTCGTTCAGATGACACGTGTGCTGAAGACGAGGATGTGATCATCTAGACCCGAGGTCGGCAAACTGCGGCTCGCGAGCCGTATGCAGCTCTTTGGCCCCTTGAGTGTGGCTCTTCCACAAAATACCACGGCCTGGGCGACTCTATTTGGAAGAAGTGGCGTCAGAAGAAGTTTCATTTAAAAAATGTGGCTCTCCAAAGAAATGCCGATCGTCGTCCTGTTGGTATTTGGCTCTGTGGGCTCATGAGTTTGTCGACCACAGATCTAGACGAAAACTGGATTCAGTGAGTCCCGCCTGTGTCTCAGCCGGGCGCACTTCCTCAGAATACAAGGGGTATCGGGAAGAACTCATCCACGTGTGGCCACGGACACAGCCTCGACATTTTGAGAAAGCGCCCTGTGTTCCTGTTTTCCAGGGCTTGGTCACGTGCTATTGTCATCTCCGGTTTACAGAGGGGGACACTGAGGCTTGGAGGGCTTGGCCTCGGGGTGAAGCTCCTATACTCCACAGGGGAGAGCCAGGATGCAGACCCAGCGGTCTTCACAGCCCCGCCTCCACGAAGCCCAGCCTAGATACCTCTCCCCTCCTCAAGAAGCCCTCGCCGCGTTGTTACACAATCACATTCCGACCAGCTTTGTGAAACCGTAAACTCCCACTGTGTGCCGCTGCGTGTCCGGCAGCTCTGGAGAGGCAGCCGGAGCTCCCTGTCCACACACAGCTCGTCTCCCACCGGGGCGCCCGGGAACCAGGACGGGGAAGTGAAATGTCTGCATTGTTCTAGGAGCCCCCGGGCCCAGGGCCAACGGCACCTGACTAATTGCCAAGTGAGCTACAGCTTTCCTGGCCGGCCTAGGAGTTCAGAGAAGGGATAGGGTGCTTGAGTTGGCACTAACAGGGAGAGCTGTTCGTGCAGTTATAGGAAAATGCTGGCACTGACACGAAGCCATGGCCAGGGGCAACCCTGGGGGAAGCGGAAGAGGGATGAACGGTGGGTGGGTGGTGGGTGCAGAGAGGGGCCTTCCCCCTCGAATCGCATCTCAGTGATGGGTGCTGCGGCCAGCCTACACCCAGGTCCTCGGTAAGAGGGAGCAGGCTTCCCAAAGGCCTTTGCGTGAACCCGATTTTCGAAAATACCCTTGAGACCTCGCCGGTTTGGCTCAGCGGATAGAGCATCAGCCTGATTCCAGTCAAGGCCACATGCCCCAGTTGCGGGCTCAATCGCCAGAGGGGGGCGTGCAGGAGGCAGTCGATCCATGATTCTCTCTCATCACTGATGTCTCTGTCTCTCGCCCCCTCTCCCTGCCTCTGAAATCAATAAAAACATATTTTAAAAATCCCCTGGAGAAGCAGAGGCGCGGGCTCCAGTGAAATGATTCCAAGACCAGGAAGAGAGGCCCGCTGCCAGTCTGTGTGCCATATTTTTGATGATGTCAAATAAAAACATGGATTTAATTTGTTCCCTTAATCCACAAATTTGTTCAACAAAAAATTACGAAATGCCCCGCATCCAACTTGGTTCAGACTGGCTGTCAGGAGGAGGGTCGAGGCGGGTGAGTGAGGGCTGGAGCCCAGGAGCCGCCACCCCGGGAGCCACCCCCTTCCAGGCGCCATTCCCGGGCAGCGATGAGCGCGCCCGTCTGAGGGCAGGCGCCGGGAGGCGGAGCTTCAGGCAAACACCCCGCGGCCTTGGCGGAGTGGCCGGGCCCTCAGCAGAAAGGACTGGAATCACCTGCAAGCTTTGGCCAAATCACGTCCTCCCTAGAGCCTGGGTTTCCTCCAGAGCCTCGGTTTCCCCCAGAGCCTCTGTTTCCCCTATTGTAGGGGCTGCACCCCCCTGGAGTGGCGGCTGGGACATGGGAAGGGGAGCACTGATGGTGAGCACGGTGCTGAGGACGCTAGCAGACGCCCACAAAAGGGAGGAAAGAGAAAAGTCCAGGCAGACCCAGGCCCACGCAGGCCCAGGGACACCCAGGGGCGTCGGGCTGGGCTCATGCTCTCCCTCTCTCGGCTCTGCCTGCTGTGGGGCGGCCCTTCTCAGGTGGGCTGTCCCCACGGAGGGGACCTGGCGGCCGGGAGCTCCGGACGAGGTCATCTCCTCTCAGCGCCCAGAGCAAGCGCCCTGGGTCCTCCCCGCCCCCAGTCCGGCCGTGGAGCCTGGCGGCTCTCAGAGTGTCCACTTCTGAGCTCGTCCTCACAGCTGAGGGGACACGGCTCGAGAGGGATGTTCACACCCCAACCCTCTAGCCAGGGAGAACCCCAAGCACGAACTGAGGAGGGAGGTTCCCAGGGAAGTTGGGGTGCTGTTTCCAGAACAGGGGAAACAGGGGCTAGAAACACATGTACTTTGCTAAAGTATCAATAGTAACAGTCCACAGATTAAAAATGGAACCGCGGTTTCACCCAGCAGTCCCACCTCTGGGCATATATCCTCAGAGACCCAGAACACCAATCAGAAAGAATGTGAGCGCCGAAACCGGTTTGGCTCAGTGGATAGAGCATCAGTCTGAAAGGTCCCAGGTTCCATTCCGGTCAAGGACATGTACCTTGGTTGTGGGCACATCCCCAGTAGGACGTGTGCAGGAGGCAGCTGATTGATGCTTCTCTCTCATCGATGTTTCTAACTTTCTGTCCCTCTCCCTTCCTCTCTGTAAAAAATCAATAAAATATATTTTTTTTAAAAAAGAAAGAAAGAAAGTGTGAAGTGTGCACCCCTATGTTCATAGCAGCACAATTTACAATAGCTAGGATCTGGACACAGCCAGGTGCCTTCAGTAGATGAGTGAATAAAAAAGCTGGGGTACATTTAAACCAGGGAATACTATGCAGCTGTAAAAAAAAAAAGGGGGGGGGGTCTCTTACCCTCTGAGACAGTATGGAGGGTCCTGAAGACTATTATGCTAAGTGAAATAAGCCAGTGGGAGAAAGACAAATACCATATGATCTCACTCACACGTGGAATCCAAAGAACAAAATAAACACAATGAACAAAATAGGTCCAGAGGTGTGAAGGCCTGGAACAGACTGACAGATCTCACAGAGGAGAGAAGGGAATGGGATGGGAAGAAATTAACCAAAGAACATACATGCAAAACTCATGGACACCGACAGTAGCCTGGGGAAGGCCTGGGGTGGGGCGGGGGTTGGGTGGAAAAGGGCCAAAAAGGGAGGAAATAGGAGACATGACATCTGTCATTCTGTCAACAGTAACATAAAATAATAATCTATATATATAAAAGCCTAAATGACAGAACGACCAAAAACCAGTTGGTGCTACGACGCGCACTGACCACCAGGGGCAGATGCTCAATGCAGGAGCTGCCCCCTGGAGGTCAGTGCGCTCCCACAGGGGGAGTGCTGTTCAGCTGACCGATGGGCACCAGAGCCCAGGGTCACGGCTGGCAAGCGCAGCTGCAGTGGCATAAGCCTCTCCCGCCTCCACGGCAGCACTACTGAGTGGGAGCGGCCCGGCACCCAGCCCTGGCTTGGGCTCCTCCCCGGCTGTCTGC